TTATTCGGATTTATACGAACCGATAGAAATTAGGATAAAAGTGACCAACACGTGTGACCTAATAAAAATTACAGAAACAGAAAAGAATCAGTAGCTTCGATCCATTAGGCGACCTGTCCATCGAGCCGCTTGGACAAAATTTGCGTTCGAATTTGAACGTTTAGCAAAACTCGGCGATACAATATATATATAATATTCTTACATCGGTTTTAGCAACATTAGCCTGTAATTTGCGTATTTGTTGCACAACTGACGATAAGGAATACACGAAAAAGCGTACATTAACCAACAACGTTAACATTTCTCATACAATTTCATTAGAATGCTTATTCGGATTTATACGAACCGATAAAAATTAGGATAAAAGTGACCGACACGTGTGTCCTAATAAAAATTACAAGATCGAATTTATTTAAATATTATTCGCAGCTTTTGTAATAGCGTGCGCCTGAATAATGAGCTACGTTCAATGACTTCAAATGGAACCAGCTTTTCATGACCTCGGTGATTACGCAATGAAAAATGTGACACCGGTCATTCGACCGGCGGTGCTGGGCGTCGCGTTACAATAATAATTAATTACTTGATTGTTCGTGCGAAAGGTCGAAACGGTATAAAAGCGTTAATAAAGCTGTTACAGTGCGATCACCGAAGCCACCAATGAAAGTTTCCTAGAGAAGTTGGACGCGGATCGATCCAGTTCAATGCTCCAATGGAACCAGCTTTTCATGACCTCGGTGATTATGCAATGAAAAATGTGACACCGGTCATTCAACTAGCGGTGCTATGCGCATATATATATATATATATATATAATAATAATAATAATAATAATAATTAATTACTTGGTCCTTCATGCGAACGGTTGAAACGGTATAAAAGCGTTAATAAAGCTGTTACAGTACAGTCACCGAAGCCACCAACTTTTCTAGAGAAGTTGAACGCGGATCGATCCAGTTGAATTCTCGAGAAGCCATGGAACAACCACTGGTGCTGCGACTCGTCGCGCAAATAAAAAGCCGCGGCCGAGGAACAGTAAAACGCCGAAGACGCCGTTTCGCCGATCCGGCGAAACCGACTTTCCTGACGCGCGGTGCCATAAATCGGCGATTTCCCATCGCGCTGGTACGGCGAGGAGGAAACGCGAAGGAAAAGCTAAATGGCACAGGAGGGCGTCCCACGCGCGTAGTCGCCGGAAACGGCTCGAGATCCCGTAACACGCTCGGTCCACGAGGACGACGACGCTATCTATCGAACTGGTCGAGAGCGTTTCCGAGCCGGCGAGGAAAAGCTTGAGAAGCAGAACTGGCCGGGACCGGGCCGGCTAATGGCAGGAATAATGGTCCGGGGCACCCGTCGAGGAGGAGGCGAACAGCTTTTGCTTCTAGGTGCCCCGGGTTGATTTACTTTTCACGCTCGAGCGGTCGGGGAGCGCGCGGACCGCCTACGAGAGAGGCAACGTGGCTCGCCTCCGATCACGCGTGAACGGTATCGCGGAACGAGCTCACGGAATCGGCACGCGCGCGTGTTCGCGGATTACGCGCGCAACCCGACTCCGCTCCGTTTCGGGCCATTCTTCACGGTTCGTTTCGGTGAACGCGTCCCCCGCGCGCCGCGCGTTTTATCGGCTCCAGAGATAATTGCCAATTTCGATCCATTTGTCACGCGGCACCGCGACGGCTCGCATTCGCGGTTCTCCCGCTACCCCTCGCCCGTCCCTCGGCGATCCGCTCGCAAACGAGCCGCGTGTCCCATAAATCGCGACGGAAATTCTTGCGAGCGCCGCGCGCCAGTTTCCAGCCCCCGACGCGACGACCGCGCATTCCTTGCCGATTCGGAGACTGGATTATCTCCGGACCGAAATAAACCGGCCGACGAACGAGCCGGGTACTCGCGGAGATTATCGGTGCCCGGCCGGATTTGTTGCTGATGAACCGGCGATTTTTCATTCTTCTGTCTCGTCCCGGGCTCTCGACGCTCTTCCGGCATTTTCATGGCAACGTCGGCTGGAGATCGGAGGATTCGTTCGTTTAAAAAAGCGGTCGGTTTTTAAATCCTTGCACTGTAGCAACGAGAGTCAGTATTCAAGATTTTAATCGGAGTATGAATCGTATTGTATAATATTAGTATCGCATAGTCTTTACATTAGTATCGTATACAGGGTGTCCTAAAAATGTCTCGCAATCCGAAAGTAGCGGGTTCCTCAGGTCATTTGAAGCAGCTCGTTTTTATAATTGTTAACAATTCGTAACTATAAAAACGAACTATAAGGCTCGAATTATCGTATCTCCTGTTCCCAAAATTGTCCATTTTTGTGGACAATCTGAGCGTCAATTAGAGAGACATTACTGTATTTTAAAACGTGATACGACAATTTCACTGCTCGACTGCAAAAGATAGATCCTCGCGTTTATAATTTTCTAGCAGAGAGTACGAGAAGAATAAGATAACAGAGAAGAATACGAAGAATACGAAGAAGCTGCCGGAGCAGTAATTAATAATCTTCTGGATAATTTAACGCCGGAACGATCTCGTAAGTCGGCGTCGCGGATCGAAAGGACTTCGTTTCCAGAAGCGATAATCGAACTTCGCGCAATCAACACGAAATTAATTTCGGTCTCTGGATAGTTCGCTCCGACAAGACGAAAAACAAAATGGAGAAAGCCGCACGCGACTCGCGTACAATGCAGAGCGGTGTTCGGACGCGTTCCTCCACGAGTCCTCGAGCGGAAGGAGGCCGATCGGCCGTTGAAACGGTCCGGGGACCGGTTTCATTTCGCCGCGAATCCCTCGTATTCCCTCGATCGCCGATCCTATCCGTCACCGTAAAATTGATTTAAAGTCGTCGTCATCGATGCCCGAACCAGTTTGCCCGTTCCCCGACGCGTCGTCGTCGTTAGAAAACTGGTTGCCGAGCGCCGCGGACCGTTTCAAAGCGTCTCTCGAAGCCCTTCCGGCGCGCTGTAATTCACTGATCCGCGGCGCAGCCTCGTTCTTTTAATTGGTGTCCCCGCGGCCATTTTTCTCGGTCGCCGTTACCGAGAATGGCTAGAACAACCACGAGAAAGCGGCGGTGCTCGCTTATTAACACGTCCGACACTGTCGCGGCGTGTCATCCGCCGACGCGATCAACTCGGCAATAAAACGAGCCGCGCAGATAAAATCGAAGCGATTTCGTTCCGTCGAGAAATTGCGGTTTTACGATGCGATCGTTGTCGCATCTTCGAGAAGCGTGCACCTAAAATGTCTCGTAGAAATCGAACGATGCACTTCGTTCATATTGTATATAGTTATAATAAATTCTCACTAGTTCGCGCTCAGATTGTGCACAGAAATGAACGATTTGGAAAGGGGATTATTATGTCAGATCATTCGAATCTCGTGGCTCATTTTTATTGTTGTCGATTGCTAACAATTACAAAAAAGGGGCGCAAAAGCCTTGAATACCTTCTCTTCCCAAATTGTCCATTTCTGTGCACAATCTCGGCGCAAATTAGGGAGAATTTACTCTATTTCTTAATCATTATTTATATTCTTTTATTTGATCGTTTCACTTTTAGGTCTCGCTGACATAGCTCGCTAACATACTCGTAGTAACAGAAAGTATTGCGATTTCTTAATGCGAAGTATATTCGTTGCAATCAGCGCTAACTGGTTAATTATTAGATCGCGGGTTCTCGAGCGTTCCTGAGAGCGTTCCAAGAGAGTTCGCGGCGAACAGGAAATTGACTTTGTTTCCAGAAGCAATAATCGAACTTCGCGCAATCAACACGAAATTAATTTCGGGCTCTGCGAGAGCATAGTTCGCCCCGATAAAGCCACGTGCTGGCGATTATCGGATCGAAGAAACCTGTAACTGGAAGTGTTCGCGTACTATTAACATCCAAAATTAAAGCGGCTCGAACAGAAGAAATCATGAGCCGACTGCTATACGCCAGCCTGCTAATTTCTCTGGCAATTTCTTATAGATCGACTCGTAAATAATTTTCGCTTTTTATCAGACACTTCTTTTGTTCTTTTATTTATCTTTTTCATAGTGGTTAGATACGAACAATTGGATTCTGCCACTGTGACCTCTGAATTGTCTTCGAATCGTGGCAGAAAATTAGAAATAAAAAAGTCAAGTCATCGTTTTTATCCTATCGTTACAACGATACGCTGGCCGCTGCCTTTTTTTTATCCGACTGCCCCGAGTTTCTATAAAAAAACGAGCCGCGAGGCCCGAAGAATCGCGATTTAGTATTCTCAGATCTGTACGAGATGCCGGATTTCTTGGAGAAACTACTGTATTTAATGGCACCGGGAAACGAGAACAGCGCTCCGAAATCATGTCGCGGCGGGTCAGAGCGACCGTCCGTTTCCGATATTTATGTTAATCGACCGACAATTAACGTAACAATACGAAATGCTCGCGGCCCGCGATAACATATCGCCGAGCGAGAAATGACTTTACGTAACTTCGAGCTTCGGCTCACAAGCTCCCGAAGGTCGATGTTCGGTCGAATTAAATTTTAAATTGCGAATGATCTCAATGTATTCGAGGAGGAATTATCGTCTTTTCCTTGGTCGGCTGTGCCACGTGGAAAGTCGCTATTGTTACACGAAAAAGAAAGATGAAGTGACGGCGGTCGGAGCCTTGAATAATTCGCTGGAGAAATAAAGGCAAATGTAATCGACGCTGTCCCCTTTTCGTATGCATTTCGATTCGCAGAGAGCTCCGGTTAATCGGCGATCTTCTCGCCGACAAGCGACTTGCGAAATATGTAGATTTCTCACAGGTTTTTAAGTGCGAAGCTTCCGCGGCGAAAAGGAATTCGAAAATTCAGGAAAAATCGGCAAGGCTGATGCTACTTTGTAGTTATCTGTGACTACTATTTTAGAGCGATAAATTATTGGAATACACTGATCATTTGCATAACCACAAAACCTACGGTCTATAATTATAGTTCACGTATTTATGTGGAAGATAAAGGCTATAAAAGACCGTAAGTTCGTTATGGTAAGTCTCAGTTGAGAGGAATCGTGTGGCAGCTAAGTTAATCCAACAACGAGTCCAACATGCCACGATATTTTCTGGTGTTTATGCTGATGGCTGTGCTGTTTGTTGCGGGTGAGTATTTGAAAATGTCTCCGGTTAAAATATTTCTTACGGCTGCTGACAAGTTATGATATTCTATATACTTTGGTTATTTAATTCAAGCTGTACATTCGCACAAACACGACCCAAAACATGGTCACAAACCAAAACATGGCGACCACGGATCGAAACATGGCAGCCACGAATCAAACAGTGATAGCAGCAGCGATTCAAGTAATGATAGCAGCAGCGAATCAGGTAGTGATAGCAGCGGATCAGATAGTGGTAGCCACGAATCAGGTCACCATCCAAAAGGTACCACTCATCCAAGTGGTGTCACCCATCCAAGAGGTCCCACCCATCCAAGAGGTCCTACCCATCCAAGAGGTCCTACCCATCCAAGAGGTCCTACCCATCCAGGAGGTCCCACCCATCCAGGAGGTCCCACCCATTCAGGAGGTCCCACCCCTCCAGGGGGTCCCACTCATCCAGGAGGTCCCACTCATCCAGGAGGTCCCACTCATCCAGGAGGTCCCACTCATCCAAGAGGTCCCACTCATCCAACAGGTACCACTCATCCAAGTGGTCCCACCCACCCAAGAGGTTCCACCCATCCAAGAGGTCCCACTCATCCAACAGGTACCACTCATCCAAGAGGTCCCACCCATCCAACAGGTACCACTCATCCAAGAGGTCCCACCCATCCAACAGGTACCACTCATCCAAGTAGTCCCACCCACCCAAGAGGTTCCACCCATCCAAGAGGTCCCACTCATCCAACAGATACCACTCATCCAAGAGGTCCCACCCATCCAACAGGTACCACTCATCCAAGATGGACCACCCATCCAAGTGGTCCTACCCATCACCCCACCGAATCAACCGGAAGCACCAAACCAGGTGACAACGGATCAGGTGGACACTCTGATAAAGATTGCTTACCTATACCAATTGGCCGGCCAATCAATATCCAATTTTGAATATTTTAACGAAGTAACACCATCGCATCAAATAGCACCACCGTACATAGTAACACTACTGAACCACGTAACAGCACCTTGCTAAATAGCAGCTCTGATGCTAAGTAGCAGCTCTCATTAACTCCACACAAGACTCGTCATAGTCGAACACTGCAAAAAATCATTGCAAAACGATTATGCAAAACCCTGACGAAACCAGTTCGCCTGCAAGTCGTGAGTATCTAAAGTATTTCAAACTATAGAATACATCGTCGATTTTTCTATTAATTTGTAATTTCTTGCGAATATATTTCAGGTGCGCTCAATATTCTCTGCGAGTTGCAGACGCCTCGAACGTGTCCAAAAAACACAGCGTCACCCGGTGCGTGCTATTTGCAAAATGCGTTTATCGTCGGTGTGAGGAATAAATGTACTGGCAATGAAAATACAATTATAATCCGCATAGTAATTCCGTGTTGTTTGATTGACTGTTTCGATTCGGAACGGGCCATTTGCAAGTACAGGAAATTCTCTCCAATTGTCACTAAACGTATAAACAGAAATGGACAATTTAGGAAGAGGAGAGACGAATCGAATAATCATTCGAGCCTTGCGGCTCGTTTTTATAGTCGCCGATTGTACTATAAAAACGCCGAACAATAAAAACGAGCCGCGGGACTCGAATAATCGTGTCTCCCTTCCCAAATTGTCCATTTTTGTTCACACATTGAGTGACAATTGCAGAGAGAATTCAATGTACTATTTAAAACATCTTATGACTCATTCTTCGATCTCCGCTGAACCTGATTCCTCTGCCAAAAGGACGCAATCGCAGTGAAGATTACTACGATACACATAATGCAAAAAAAACGACAACATGAAACGATTCTTGTTGATAGCAACAATGTATTAGCGACGGAAACGTGTAATCGACGTGCGCATTCGTGAACGCGTGTAATTCGGTTGCCGACGAGAATCTGGAGCGGGTTATTATTTTATTTATTTTTTAAACATCGAGCAACAAGTAATGATTTCCCCCCACCTTACGATTCCTTTGAAAAACTAATTTCTCGAGAAGCGAGCAACGCAGAAAATGCGTGTCCGTGAAGCTGTCCGTTAGGGACAGCATCGAACGACAATAAGTAGAGTGCATATTTTGAATTATTCAAATGGATCGTCGTCGAAAAAAATAGTAAAAATAGTCACGATTCTCGAACACCGCGAACATCAAAGTTAACGAGCGCCAGCGCGCACGAAGTGCCACGTATCACATGCGAGTACATTGGAGATCTTGATATGTGTATCTTCAAGGTGAAAATAAGTTATAAAAGTGCGGTACGTTGACGGGTTTGGCAATAGAAATAAAACGGAAGGCGAACCGTGTGGTAGTTCAAAGTTCCATCAACGAAACCGAACATGTCTCGCTGTGTTATTCCATTGGTGCTGTTGCTGATCGCAATGTTTCAGGCGTGTAAGTATTCAGAAAAGTTAATGCTCCTCGATGAATTTGAGATCTCCGTTGATTCACGATTTGATCCATTGAAGACGCGGAAGGATCCGAGAACGTAACCGCCCCAGTGACGGCGGAAGGTAATTGTTCTACGAACGAGGTATACTCGAATTGCGGAAATCTGTGCGAAGAATTCTGCACGACGCCGAACATAATAGTTTCTCCAATGTGTTCTATTATTGTAAGTGTCCCGAATACTTGACCTTATAGAACAGTGGAATCGTAGTAAAGTTATTGTGTCGATGATTCGTTTTCAGGAGTCGTTCAGTTGGTTTTGTATACCAGAACTGATAGGAGGTTGCAGATGTAAGCCAGGTTTTATCAGAAACGATGCGAATAATTGCATTAGTTGTGAAAGTTCGTGAAGCAATCAAAATATATATGTATATATACACATAGATATAATCATCGTACGTCTAGCGTCTCGGTGGTTCGGTGTTAGTATGGTACTATCTACGTTCTAATAATCATTTGTCTACGCAGCTTCGAAGAATTAATAAAGCAACTTCGACTGCGCACTATATAATCGCTTTGGGACGGGTTCTTTTTTCGCTTCTGTCGAATCTATCACGTAAATCTATCCAAGAAATTGGCCCGGAGGAATTTCGAAAATTAATTGATCGGTGGAGCAATTAACATGGTTTCGAACCCCCCGTGTGCAATAGACGGGAGGAGCACGCTTGAGATCGACGAAGATGGTTGATCATCGAGCAAAGGTCGAAGTTTAGACAACCGAATATCCGACTACGATTAATCGACCCCAACTTAATTATCTTCATAACAAACCAATTATGACATGCAGTTTCATTGAACAATTTGCATCGTGTCACGTGAGGTTGATATTATAAACAAGCTGCATCATAGCATTTGCATATTGATATCCTGAAGGACAAAGAATTCATTGTTCCAACCTAGGTATTCGTTATAAAAGTGTAGAAAATTTAGGTGCTCGCAGCATTTGAGAAGCTGTAGTTCAACAGTGTGATGACGTGTGCTAACAAGTTCAAGATGACTCGATACAACGTGTTGCTGATACTGATGACTGCCGTTTGCGTGTCATGTAAATATCCAGCAATATCAACACGATTTTGTTGAATATTACACAAGAATAAATTGTTCTTTCTGTCCTTGTTCATCGCAGCTTTGCCGATAGAACACCCAAAATGCATAATAGTGCTGACCAACATTGCTGGCGAAACAAGCAATCAAGTTCCTGATACCAGCTTTCATCGGAACGAAAGTCCCCCACCGAATAGTATTCCTGTATCAAGCAGTACATCAGAAGCTGTCATTAGCACCGAGCGAAGTAGTGTTAATGGACCAAGTGCAACTAAATCAAGCAGTCCTGAACCAAGCAATTCTGAACCAAGTGGATATTCATCTAGCATCAGACCAGCATCGAAGAGTTCTACATCGAGTAGCAACCCTGGATCGAGTGGTCCTGAAACCAACAGCCCTAAGACTAATAATCCTGAGTGCAGTAATCTGGAATCCAGTAGTTCTGAAACCAAAAGCCTTAAGACCAATAATCCTCAGTTCAGTAGTCCTGAAACCAGCAGTCCTGAAACCGGCAGTCTTGAGACCAGCAGTCCTCAGTCCAGCAGTCCTGGGACTGCAGAGTCAAGTAGTCCAGAGTCAAGCAGCCCAGAGTCAAGCAGCCCAGAGTCTAGCAGCCCAGAGTCTAGCAGCCCAGAGTCTAGCAGTCCAGAGTCCAGCAGTCCAGAGTTCAGCAGTCCAGAGTCCAGCAGTCCAGAGTCCAGCAGTCCAGAGTCCAACAGTCCAGAGTCCAACAGTCCAGAGTCCAACAGTCCAGAGTCCAACAGTCCAGAGTCAAGCAGTCCAGAGTCCAACAGTCCAGAGTCCAACAGTCCAGAGTCCAACAGTCCAGAGTCCAACAGTCCAGAGTCCAACAGTCCAGAGTCCAACAGTCCAGAGTCCAACAGTCCAGAGTCCAACAGTCCAGAGTCCAACAGTCCAGAGTCCAACAGTCCAGAGTCCAACAGTCCAGAGTCCAACAGTCCAGAGTCCAACAGTCCAGAGTCCAACAGTCCAGAGTCCAACAGTCCAGAGTCCAACAGTCCAGAGTCCAACAGTCCAGAGTCCAACAGTCCAGAGTCCAACAGTCCAGAGTCCAACAGTCCAGAGTCCAACAGTCCAGAGTCCAACAGTCCAGAGTCCAACAGTCCAGAGTCCAACAGTCCAGAGTCCAACAGTCCAGAGTCCAACAGTCCAGAGTCCAACAGTCCAGAGTCCAACAGTCCAGAGTCCAACAGTCCAGAGTCCAACAGTCCAGAGTCCAACAGTCCAGAGTCCAACAGTCCAGAGTCCAACAGTCCAGAGTCCAACAGTCCAGAGTCCAACAGTCCAGAGTCCAACAGTCCAGAGTCCAACAGTCCAGAGTCCAACAGTCCAGAGTCCAACAGTCCAGAGTCCAACAGTCCAGAGTCCAACAGTCCAGAGTCCAACAGTCCAGAGTCCAACAGTCCAGAGTCCAACAGTCCAGAGTCCAACAGTCCAGAGTCCAACAGTCCAGAGTCCAACAGTCCAGAGTCCAACAGTCCAGAGTCCAACAGTCCAGAGTCCAACAGTCCAGAGTCCAACAGTCCAGAGTCCAACAGTCCAGAGTCCAACAGTCCAGAGTCCAACAGTCCAGAGTCCAACAGTCCAGAGTCCAACAGTCCAGAGTCCAACAGTCCAGAGTCCAACAGTCCAGAGTCCAACAGTCCAGAGTCCAACAGTCCAGAGTCCAACAGTCCAGAGTCCAACAGTCCAGAGTCCAACAGTCCAGAGTCCAACAGTCCAGAGTCCAACAGTCCAGAGTCCAACAGTCCAGAGTCCAACAGTCCAGAGTCCAACAGTCCAGAGTCCAACAGTCCAGAGTCCAACAGTCCAGAGTCCAACAGTCCAGAGTCCAACAGTCCAGAGTCCAACAGTCCAGAGTCCAACAGTCCAGAGTCCAACAGTCCAGAGTCCAACAGTCCAGAGTCCAACAGTCCAGAGTCCAACAGTCCAGAGTCCAACAGTCCAGAGTCCAACAGTCCAGAGTCCAACAGTCCAGAGTCCAACAGTCCAGAGTCCAACAGTCCAGAGTCCAACAGTCCAGAGTCCAACAGTCCAGAGTCCAACAGTCCAGAGTCCAACAGTTCAGAGTCCAGCAGTCCAGAGTCCAGCATTCCAGAGTCAAGTAGTCCAGAGTCAAGCAGTCCAGAGTCAAACAATCCAGAGTCAAACAGTCCAGAGTCAAGCAGTCCAGAGTCAAGCAGTCCACAGTCAAGCAGTCCAGAGTCCAGCAGTCCAGAGTCAAGTAGTCTAGAGTCAAGCACTCCAGAAGTTCTCCACGAAATGCAGAGGGTATAGCCCTTGAATAGCCAAAGGGTTAATCCGCGTTTTGCAAACGCAGTCGTGAAGCGCACTCTACAAAAACCAGAAATGATCGCAGTATCTCTGTTGTGCGGCATTACATTAAGAAGATGCTTGAAAAAGCTTTTTAAAAAGGGGAGATAAGCGCATCGGAAAATGTTAATTCAATTACGTAAAGATAAAGAACAAGCGAAGATAAAGAGTGGACATTTGCATTGCAAACGATAGAGATAAATTAAAAATGCCATTACACGTCGGTCGGTAATTATAGACTATTTACCGATTACGGACTATTTATTGGCGAACTGTCAGCAGAGAGTATGCCATATTGGAAATGCAGTTCGAAACAAATACTATTTGCATAATTTCGCAATTCCACCGAATTCTAGAGATAGCGTTATCACAAGAGCACGTAACACTGTTGCGTAAAAGTTAGTATGAAAAATGGCAGGACGACAAGAAAAGAGGGTATAAATGGTTAAATTGATCGCGGTTTTAGGGCCAATGTCGGAACGGAAGTCGAACGGAAATCATGATCAGTGGGAGATGAGTCGACGCATCATGCTGTTAGGGTTGCTGGCTGCTGAAAATAAATATCGCTGAAATGTTTCGAACAAAATTTCTCCGATTTCTCTGCTCGGAAAATTCGGTTTTCTTGATGTACGTGCAAATAAAGTGCATATAAAGGTGCAAATGGCCCCTCGGAATGGTGCCCTCGGGAGAAGTTGCCGTTTTCCATCCAGTTTGAAAATTCGCAAGTGTTCACAGCGTTGTTCATTGCGCCAAAAAAGGCCTAACAATTTTTTCGCTTAAAAATTAATCCGTGGTCCTCGTAATTACCTTACGAAAACAGTCGCCGTTTATGTACAACTCCGCGTACGAACTGATTCGTTCACCTAACAATTCAATGGCTCTCTGAGTCAGGCGTGTGCATCCCGCGGCCAGATAACGGAAGCTACGGCTCGGATTTAGGATTCCGCAGACTGTCAATACAGGCAAGATTCGAGGTGTACTAAACTTTTAGTGTCGCGAACAATATATTATATATCTGCAAGCAACACTAAAAATTCTAATTCTCGTACGGACTGCTAATTCTAACTAGAGAGACGATCGTAAACTCGCCGATGACTATTCGCTGGCAAAGTGATGGCCTCCAGATAAAAGCAGGAATTTATTATCGTGCACGTTGCAATTTCAATAGTATTATGATAAATTCTAGATAAAATATGTCGTTCGTGTTTGTACGAGGAACGAGAACTATAAAAACGCGAAACGCGTGGGTGAAGTCACCAAATAGTAAGTTAAAGCAGCCAGAAGCGATTCAAAGTGTTCGAAATGTTCAAACTGCTCGTCGCGATAACGGTGTTAGCCGTGGTGGCCGCTCAGTGTAAGTATCGTTCAGTACAACGCTATACTTACCGAGCTGACCTCTCGTCGCTTTTATTATAATGTATGCTTGTACGATGAAATTTATTCAATCGCTTTCTGCAAAAGAATCTTTACAATTCCAGCAACGTTAAAAGCAAACATTCGAAGGCGGCCGTTCTGACTGGCTCGGCAGGTTTAGCGTTAAGACGATCTTTCGATGACTGATTTCCTGCAAGATTTAATATTCTTGGTTGTTTAAGCTTCCCCCGAACCGTCGGACAAGTGTTCTGGTAACCAGACCTGGTCGTTGTGCGGACAAATATGCGAGCCAACTTGCGACGTGCCGAATCCTAACCCTTTTTTCTGCCCTGCAATTGTGAGTGCTCCAAATATTTTTCCCCGTTGAATATTCCTAGGAACTAGAATTTCTCCTAGGGATTATTCATCGAGACAACTAGACAGACTAGGTTCTTTCTTCAATTAAATAATCATACACATACACGGTGTTTCAGGAATGCTCGAGATTTATTGCCACCTGCAGGTGTAAGAGTGGCTACGTGAGGAACGAAGAAAATAATCAGTGCGTTAAGCTGAAGGACTGTCATCACTAATAATAATCCGAAGCGATCTAAAGCGATCTTAGTGCTGAGAGCTATTGTACGACATTATATTGTAATTTAACTGTGCAATAAATATATAATCTACGCATAACGAAAAAGGGCGATTCTACGCCAGAGATAAATTCAATTCCTAGACAGTCGTTCGCTAATGATAGGGGCCATTGTTTGCGCGTCAGCGGATCATGTCGGGCCTGATTAGGTGCGCGTGAAACGTCGACCCTCGTTCCGCGCCCCGTGACAGCACAACCGCCTCGAAAAACTGACACCAACACCCTGATCATCGACCGTTTCGAAAACTCCGCCCCACTTTTCCGTTCTCGAGGGCCGATTATGGGAAGTGACTCGTAAGCCGCTCTCTTTCTCTCTCTCTCTCTTTCTCTCTCTCCCTCGCGCTCTGTCTCTCTCTCTCTCTCCCTCTCTCTCTCTCCCTCTCCCTCTCTCTCACTCGCTCTCGCTCACTCGCTCTCGCTCGCTCTCTCTCGCTCTGTCTCTCTCGCTCTGTCTCTCTCGCTCTGTCTCTCTCGCTCTGTCTCTCTTTCTCTTTCTCGCCTTGAAATCTTATACACATAGTTCCGACACCGCCGCGCAGTGGAGAGAAATGACCAAGTTATAATGATGATGCCCAAATTATAGAGAACGTCGGTCGACGATTTACGAGATTGTAAATATATGTCGAACTGGATATTTTACGATAATTATTCAGGGTTCATCCATTACGACATGTGATCATGTTTGAGTGATTTTAAAACATAGTCTGTTCGGTATCATGAAACTCAGGATTGCTAGTGTTTTATTATTATATCTGAACCTGCAAAGACCGTGTCAGTATAACGAAATTCATTTTCAATCGAGAATTTGACTGCGATAGCAATCGCACTACAAGAAGAAAGTTATGTTAAAAGGAAGTTCGACCACGAAAATGAAGCTCGACCTTCGACGATTTGAGGAACCGTATTTATCCATCCCCTTTTGCACTGTGTTCCCAAATAGACGACAAATAATATGCAAAAATAACAAAAAAATACTAAAAAACTAAATGGAATAATAATAATAATAATCGCGCGTCGCGTTGATCTACGAGTGAAAAGCCAGTTATTTTTCAAATGACTATGCAATCGAACGCGATGCATTCAGTCACTGGGATTTGCATCTGTACATTAATAAATAATCCTAAATGATGGTAAATCGCTATCGGCTCGCGCTGGACCCGTCGACGAGTAGAAACGGAGCTTAAAAAAAGTTCGATCACGGAGACAGAAAGAGAGAGAGAGAGAGGATCGAAACGCAGCAGCGGTCTGCTCCGGGCAGTTTCCGGTGGCCCGAGTTTATTTTTCGGCCGGCGCATTGTCTCCTTTGTGAGAGAATAATCCCGAAGACGCCGGAAACGTGGCGTGCAGATTTTCGAGTCGCGGAAATGGACTAGCAAAGGCGGGATAGAAGGTGCCAGGGGCAGGAACGAGAAGAAGAGAAAATGGCAGCGCAGGAAGGACGCCGGGAGCAGCAGCAGCTGCCGGCCGAGCGGTTTGCGAATTCCCCCGCGGGGCATTAACGCAACCCCCCTTCTTTCCGTTCCTTTTCCCAGCGATTTTCGTCCGGTTCTCCGTTTCCTTCTCGACAAAACCTTTTGCGCAAAAACGGGAGCACCGTGGGCCGGTTCGCACACGTCGCCGTAACGAAAACCAGCTCTCCTCCACCGTTTCTTGAAAACAAGCTTAGGAAACACGTCTTTTGTGATTTCTGTTGCCGGATGGTTCGGGGATCCTCTTTCGGTTCGCCGAACACCCAAAGATCTTTGTTGCGCTACGGTTCGACCATTCAATTTCCTCGCGAACGAAAAAACACCCAGACGGTTAAATTTCCTGACGGAAAAATACCTGGTGCACAGCGCGTTGTCTAAACTGCATTCGAGATCAATTATTTTGTACCGCAAATGCACTTCTCTCTGTAAAAAGCGCTCCGAGGAGACGCGGCCTCTCTGTTCGATTTCATTTTTTCTCGAGAAACGCTTAATTTCCATCAAAGAGACGTGTATAAAAACGCGATGCTTCGGAGATCCTCTTTCAGTTCGCCGAACACCCAAAGATCTTTGCTGCGCTACGGTTCGACCATTCAATTTCCTCGCGAACGAAAAAAACACCGCTGACAGAAAAATACCCGGTGCACAGCGCGTTGTGTAAACTGCATTCGAGATAAATTATTTTGTGCCTCAAATGCACTTCTCTCTGTAAAAAGCGCTCCGAGGAGACGCGGCCTCTCTGTTCGATTTCATTTTTTCTCGAGAAACGCTTAATTTCCATCAAAGAGACGTGTATAAAAACGCGATGCTTCGGAGATCCTCTTTCAGTTCGCCGAACACCCAAAGATCTTTGCTGCGCTACGGTTCGACCATTCAATTTCCTCGCGAACGAAAAAAACACCGCTGACAGAAAAATACCCGGTGCACAGCGCGTTGTCTAAACTGCATTCGAGATCAATTATTTTGTGCCTCAAATGCACTTCTCTCTGTAAAAAGCGCTCCGAGGAGACGCGGCCTCTCTGTTCGGTTTCATTTTTTTCTCGAGAAACGCTTAATTTCCATCGAAGAGACTTGTATAAAAACGCGATGATTTGGGTTCGTAGTTGATCATTTGCTTGTTAATAAGACGAAGAATGAAGTATTTAAAAACACAGGCTCGAGGTTCCGACGTTTTTCGCTTCCAGCGCCACTGTTACTTTCCTCGGTCGTTGTTTCGTGTATTCTTTTTTACCGATGCATCGCGTGCTGTATGCACAAATGGTCACGGAAAATTGCGCTTGAACCACCTGTCGGTCGAGAATGTTATTAATTAGCGAATTCCGGCGACCGTTCGCACGACTGCAGCATGATGATCGACTCCGTCGAGACGAAATACAGTAATTTCTCCCGAATTCGCGCACAAATGGAGAATTCGGGAAGAGGAGATACGATTATTCGAGCCTCGCTGCTCATTTTCATTTTAGATTTATTATTATGATTTATTATGGAATTAGATTACTTTAGATTATCAATGATTATAAAAAGACGAGACGCAAGGCTCGAGCAATCGTGTCTCCTCTTCCGAAATTGTCCATTTTTCTGCGCAATCCGGGCGCGAATTAGGGAGAAATTACTGTACACGCAGCCAGCGCTATTTCAACAGGACAAACCGAGAGACTTTCTTCTCGCAAGAAAGCCTCCGGGGGATGTTCCCACCCTATTCTGCCCGGGCTCGGCAGAAAGAAAGAGATTCGCTACGAATGTAGATCCGCGGAACCGCAACTTCAGCGTTTTTTCTAGAACTGAAGACGTTCGACGTCTCGAAGCGATTATCTCGCGATAATCGAACGGTTTTAAATTCGCCAGGAACGGGCCTGATAAGGAAATCGCGGGAGCACTGGCTTGGCGATTTTAAATTGCGCCGACGATTTTGCATTTCAATGAAACGCTGCGCTCCAAATCCTTCGATATTAATTTAATATTTCGGTCCCTTGAACTCGAATGTTCGCGAAGCTTCAATTCGCAGAAAGAAAATACCGGCTTGCCTGGAAAATAATTTCGTTCTTTTTCACGAGAAAATGAAAGACCATTGTTTAACCTCTAGACTAAATATTATTTGAGCGGGTTAGGATCGTAGTGACGTAAGTCACATTTACGAAAATTTTAATTTTCGTTCTAAAATTTAATGTACAGATACTGAAATGTTGAAAAGATAAGCAAGATAAATGATAGAGTTAATATATATATTAACTTAATTTTAAATTATCTTAACAATAAATTTGGTCGGCGAGCAAAACCATGCTTCTGGCGCCACTATGATAATAACCTACTCATTTAATGGTTTATATTCTACTTATTCTCTTCTTTTTAACATTTTTCCGGTAGCTTTGAAATCCCGTACTCGTCGAAGTCCACTTTCTTATTGGCAAAAATGCTGAATCGAGCGGATTTTTTACACCCTTGTAAAACGAAATTTTGTTGGAAAACCGAATTACTTTCCCGCCAACCCGATAATAAAGTACTGGAGATAGAATCGACCAAGTTTATCGACTTCAGAAGACCGAGATACTCGAAACAGTTACAGTAATCGTCCGGTCCAAGGTGACTAGGACTTCTTCCGGAAATCAAGCACCGTCGTCCCAAATTCGAGAAACGCCGAGAGTCTCCGATCGGACGGCGCGTAATTAAATATCGATTTCTCGACGTAGATTCGTAGCCTCGAGCGCCGTCGACGGCCAAAGCGTTTTTTTGCCGTCGAGTTTCGCCGGGTCCGGCAATAATTCTCGTCCGCGGTAAAAGGAGAAACGACTGGCGACGTCGGCTCTCCCCGGCATCGATATTAAATTGTTATTTAAATCTCGTGTTTTTGCGTGTTCCGAGAGCAGCGGTCCCCCGCGCCTCCCGTACCCGGAGAGTTATGGTTAACGGGCTGGAAAGCAAAAAATAAAAAAAAAAAAAGAAAGAGAAGAAAAGAACGAGGGCCGTCCTCGCGAAAAAGAAGACGACGAGGAAGTTTCGTGCACGGTCGGCCGGCACAAAGAACGGCGCGCAATATTTCTGTCATGCTACATTAAATTCGTGCGTTTTCGAAGTCGACCTTCTCCGCTACCACCCTCGCCCCGCCCCCGATAACGAAGAATCGAGGGAAAACCGATCGCCTCGTCCCGCGGCCGGCCGTCGTTCCTCTCCCGACGTTTTTATTTCTGCCCCTCCTCCCTCTGCCGTTTTTCCGCCGTTCTCCTTGTACGGTTTATTTTGAAATCCGTCGGGCGACGTAACAGTTCGAGCGGCGACGATCGATCGATTCGCAACGTTTCACCCGGTCGGGTGTGAAACGCCGGCCAAAAGGGAAATAAAATCGGCGGGGGCGGGTCGTCGCGAGGCTCGAGTGAATCGTTTGTAAAATGGAAAACAATTTTCGATAACCGTCGACGCGCGATTCGATTAAAACTTGCTCCACCCTATCACCTACCCCCTCCGCCCTCGTTCACTATGCACCGACACTGCCGCGGAAATTGAAACAAAAAATAGTTCCAATGCCGCGTGTCTCTCTGCGTTCGATGTTTTTTTTTTTTTGTTACAGCGACGCGAGAGAGCGACGAC